TTTCTTATACGCACTAATGCGTACGCACAAAGCCCGTTTTAGCGAATGAAGGGGTTTTTGTGAAAAAATCCTCCAACAAATGAGTACGAGCTCGTGACCGTACTTGGGGATTGAAAGTGAGGGTTTTTTGGAAAAAAGTCACCGAAAGCACTGTAAAATCATTCTCGTGACCACTCTCTCTCTTCCCTTTCCCCCAAATCAAATCCCCATCACCGACTTCTTCCCCCAAATCCATCCTCGTCACCGGCCCCGACTTCGGACAACCCCATCACCGTCGGCTGCGACATCTCCATCACTGAATCTCCACGTGCCCATTTCTCCTCCTCCATCAAGCCACCGACCTCCCCTAACTCCGGTGACCGCGAGATCACCCAACTCAGGTACGGATCTCTCTCTCTCGAGATCCCCCATCACCGACCTGCTTGGTTGCCAATTTTTTAGGGCTGCTTTAATACTTTTTTGGTTGTTGGGTTGTAATTTTTCCCTATGCAATGGTAATCATTTAGTAAACAATGTGGAATAAAGTCAGTTTAGAAAATCTTGTAAGCAACTAGAACAAAAAATATGGGGTAAAATGGCAAATAGTCAGATTTTAAATTTAATTCCGTAAGTAACAGATTTGGGAGGTTAGGATGAAAGCTGCGAACCCCCTCATCAAAGATTTTGCCACAAATATAAGAATTAATCAGTATTCAGTAATTTGTAAAAATTTACTTTGCAACTCCCAGTAAATAAAGCTAGAGGCCTGCTTGGTTGCCAAATTTTTAGGGCTGCTGTAATACTTGTTTGGTTGCTGGGTTGTAGCTACTGCACGTTTTTAAACAACACTTCCATGGATTTTGATCCATCACAGGAAAATATAAACAACACTAGACAGACAAAGTTTGCATCAAGACCACCACTTTGTACCTTGTTATTGTTTAGCATGTAGATTCATGATATTACAGGGTATTGGAATGTAAATAATCCAAATTTATAAAGTCAAATTACTGATTGCACTGAAGCTTTTTTCCTCCGATGAGATTATGCCTAATTTATGAAATTTGATATTATATGCATTTTATATAGATCAATTACAATTTTTGTGAGAAATGGATAACTTGGGCACTGAAGCTAATGAAGTAAACTTGGACGATGATGATTTGATATATACTCCTTCAGATGAGTTGAGGCCAAAAAAGGGGCAGGAATTTGACACAATAGATGATGTTGTGATATTCTACAATGCTTATGCTAAAGCAGCTGGGTTTAGTGTAAGGTCTTGGACTACTCAAAAAGAGCCGGGAAGTTGTGAAATAAGAAGGAAAGAGTATGTTTGTTTTAAACAAGGAAAATCTCTAAAAATCACGGATGTTGGAAAGAAAAGACGTCGAGGAAGCTTAGCTGAGGATTGTACTGCCAAAATTGTAGTTTTAAAATCAAACTCCGGAAAATACATTGTTACTGTTTTTAATGAGGAGCACAGCCACCCACTATCAACACCATCAAAGATTCATCTTTTAAGGTCCCATCGTAACGTTTCAGCCGCAACAAAGTCTCTAACTAAACAGTTATCCATGGTGAATATACCTCAGCATCAACAATTCAGTTTTCTTGGAGTACAATCTGGAGGTATAGAAAATATTGGGTGCACTCAAAGAGATTTGTATAATCATGCAAGGGATATCCGTGCTGATTTGAAGGGGCATGATGGTGAAATGTTTTATGAATATTTAAAATTGGAACAAGGAATGAATTCCTCATTTACTTTTCAAATTGAGGCCGATGAGGAACAAAAGATTACTCGTTGTTTTTGGTCCGATGCAAGATCAAGGCGGGCTTACAAATTTTTCGGTGATGTTGTAATCTTTGATACTACTTATAACACTAATCGCTATGGCCTTATATTTGCACCAATAATGGGGGTTAACAATCATGGTCAAACAATTGTTTTTGCTTGTGGATTTTTGAATCATGAGAGCGTTGATGATTTTGTATGGTTATTTAATCAATTTTTGGAAAGTATGCCTGGTGGTGTCCCGAAGATGATTATTACCGATCAAGACCCAGTGATGACTAAGGCATTCCCTCTTGTTCTTCCAAATACTTTCACAGGTATTATAGTTTGTATATATTATTGAAAATATTTATATACATAGCCTTTCTTTTTAACACTTTTTTTAATTCTTTTGACAGGTATTGTAGTTGGCATATATTAATGAAGTTTTCTGAGAAAATTGATGCAGTGAAGTATAGTATTTATAAAAGTGAGTTCTCGGCTTGCATTTGGAAATCAGAGACTCCTGAAGAATTTGATTTACAATGGGAAAGTCTGATTAAGAAAAGTGGGTTAGAAGGAAACAAGTGGTTGCAAGACTAATAATTCATTGGTTGATTTTATGATATAGTTTGGCAGGGGATTAGTGTGCCAACGACATGAGGAGTTGATGGCCGATCACAAAGATGTAATTGAGAAACCTAAACTTAGAATAAATCATAACTTTTTGGAGAAAATGGTTGATATTTACACGAATGAGATCTATTACAAGTTTGAGGCTGAAGTGTGTGACAGCTTTAACTACAAGTTACAGTTTGTTAGGGCAACTGACAATCAGAGTGTGTATCAAATTCAAAGAAAGAAGCTCGCAACAAGTAAAGTCTGCGAAATTGTTTACGACAAGGACTTGGATTTGGTTTCTTGTAGTTGTAAAAAGTTCGAAAGCGTCGGAATTCCATGTACGCACATTATATCATATTTGATGAAAATTGATGCTGAAATATTGCCTGATAAATACATCTTAAAGAGGTGGACTAAGTCTGCAAAATCGAGGACAGTGGATGATGATAAAGGTATGCAGATAAGCCTTGATAATTCTTATCTTTTAACGCGGAGTCAATTTATCCAATCATCTTTGGAATTAGTTGACAAGTCCCTTGTATGTGAAGAAACGAGGAAGATGTTTACCGATGGAGTGCGTATCATTAATGAGCAAATCGACCAATTTTTTAGTAGCCACATGGTTAGTGGTCGCACGGTTGCAAAGAGCTTCACCGAGAAAAGTAATCAAATGAGTAGTAATTTAATGGATGATGGTACTAGTGTGTAGGATTCTTGTACTTTTCAAAATAGTTTCAATGAACCCGATCAAGTACGAGCAAAAGGGTGCAGCAAAAGATTGAAGGGAGGAAAAGAGAAAGCAATGGCTAGAGAAAAAATAAAAAAGATAGACGTTGTCACGGGTGTGGTAAAGTAGGCCAATCACATGATAAGCGAAATTGTCCGGCACTCACAAATCCGTAAGTAATAATTCTTTTATTATTTATGTTGTCTTATTCTTCACCTTCTATTATCCCCCTTGATGTATATATATATATATATTCGTTATAATGTAGGTCTTCTACATGCGGTGATACAATTTGGCAAGAGGGTAATGGGTCATCAAGTGAAGATGGGGATGATGTGCTCCTATGAAGACGTATATGGCTTTACATGCGAAAGTATAGATATCACAGTTTCAAGGTAAGAGAGTTGATAATGATTTTAAGGCATCCGTTGTTTAATAAATATCCGTTTATAGATAAGAATTTACATTTGCTTGATATTTATTATTACCGTTTCTTGCCCGTATTTGCTAGACTAATATAACCATGATGACGACCATAAAAAAAAATAGCCACATATGAATTGTTCCTGTATGTGTACTATAGCAAAGGCTGCAGGTTGATAATTAAGATGATGATCTATAATTTCCTTTGCTAGCATATAACTCCTTCATTGATACTTACCCTACTGATGCAGCGACATCCTCGTGTTAGATTTGGCAGAGTTCACCTTTACAACAACTACACCAGTAATTGGGGCATATACGCAGTTTGTGCGAGTGTTGAATCACAACGTGGATTTTCTGGCAAATGTATATGTTTGATGTTTATGAGACGTATATGGCTTTACAACTTTGGGTCTTTCGTGTTTGGAAAGCGACGTATTTGCACTTTTAACTTAGTAGTTGTTATGTATTGTAATGGGTACTGAGCACATTTAACTTATGTGTTGGACTTGTGTAGCTGGGAGAGATGTATATTGTAACTTAGTATGTTGGGTAATGAGTGGGACTTGTACGTGGATTTACTGATTGTTGGATGATTGCCTATTATGTTCTCCCCCTGGTATATTTGATGCTGGCAATGTGTGGGACTTTTACGTGGATTTATTGAGCACATTTAACTTAGTATGTTCACCTATTATGTGCACGCTCTAGGTTGTTGGATGATTTTACTAGTTTATTGCAAGTGGGTGAGGGTGAAAGCTACAGCTGCGTCGTCGGAGATTGTAAGATTTTGTATAATTAAGCACCAAAGAGACCTGGCCCTCTCCCTTCGATGCGCAGATGGCAGTTACCTTCACCTGAGAGCTCAACGGCTTTGACTGCTCCCCCTGAATTGTACATTTTTACGAGTCCAATGGGTGCAAACTGAATTGTTTGGTTGTAACTCTGCATCAAACAATGAATGAGAGCCTTCAGGAAATAATGCCGAAATTTAGACGGTTTTGTGAAATTTGTCCTTGTGTAAAACAACAAAAAATATATTTGTTCAGCATTCAACAAGAAATATATATGTGAAATTTGTCCTTGATTGGAGAAATGGTAAAAACTTCAGACTCTAGAACTTTAAGAGCAACATCAAATGACCCATCCTTTGGCCATCTACGTAGAGAACCTACAAGTTGCAAAATAAACCGAAATCGAACTACCACTCCAAACTTTACGAACTCAAAGATTCTTTTTTTAATAAAATAAAAATCTGCATATACCAGCATTATAAGAATAAACAGCACAATCACCGGTCCAATCCTCTCCAGAATGTTGTAGTCAATAAAAGATTAACAACGAATTACAATCTTGAACATTGAGCAATTAGCTTGTTTAGTACGCAATGAATTACAATCTCGTGCAACCACAAGGCATGATCATAGATATTGAGCAATTAGCTTGTTTAGTACGCAATGAATTATCCAACCAATGCAAGCTCAGCCACAAATTACATCACATGTTTTTTGCAATGGAGAAACCAACAAATACCGCAACGATACATGCTAGAAACACTAATACTGTAAACAATGAACCTAATACAAAAGCATAGATAGAGAAAATAGAAGTTTCCCTAAGTTTTTTCTTGTCCTCATCCAGATTATGCCTCACTGGATATCTTTCTTCTTGAGCATAATCAGATGTTTGGACATGCCTCGAGCTGGATACAGGATCAAGAGTGAGTGTGTGCTTCTCCCATTCAATCAAAGCCTCTTCATACGTTGCATACCCTTTGTAGGAGGCATTTGGGAACTTATCTACCTGAGATTTGCATTCTTCCCAATTATAAAAAATACCACATCGTCGACCTCTCTTCACAACATAAAACTTTTTCTAGCCATGGATAACCTGAAAATACCCCAAATTGGAGGGTAAACAAAATTTTTACATATGATCAGTTAGCAATCAAAGTTAAAAAAAATTATTTTGTCTACTACGACATATCTAGAAAGCTAAAGTTCAACAATTGATACGAAATTTGTATAAATAAACCAAAGTTTCTCAAATAAGAGTTCATCAATGTGTTTGACATATCTAGAAATTTCAACAAGTTGTATAATCAACTGATGTAGTATCCAGCAAGGTTCATATGATACCAAATTTGTATAAATAAACCAAAGTCGTGAACATTGTGTTCATCAATGTGTTTGACATATCTAGAAAGCTAAAGTTAAAGCATCGGATCGTCAAAATTTATCTTATATTCACTATTCTAACGTCAAAATAATTTCAACAAGTTGACCAATTCATATATTCAAGTATCCAAATGCAGATAGGATAGGCTAGTTACATTCATATTTCTTAAGGGGTTTTTGGATACTAGTCCCTCCGTCTTCGATACTTGCATATGAGCCCCTGATAACATAGAGACAATTCAAGGATTAAAGATGAAAACTTTTGGTTCAGGATTTAGGCCGCAATCCACAGCAACGTGATTCAAACCCAAGACAAAATTAACATCAACGATCAAGTTTATACAACAAGTTCAGTTACCAATCACCAGCAACGAAGGACTAATCCAGCTTCCTTGCTCCTACTTTCACCCAAAAAATTAAAAAGCACCGAGATAACAGAGAATGGACCCAAGATTTACTTGGTTTCTTGATTTTGACGTAAATATGCTGTTCCAATACAAATTGAATTTTTCTGGACAGGCAATGCGTTTCTTAAATTAAAAAAAAAGAATTTATACCAAATGCAATTTAACAAATCAGTGTTGTTTAAAAAACGTGCACTAGCTACAACCCAGCAACCAAAAAAGTATTACAGCAGCCCTAAAAAATTGGCAACCAAGCAGGTCAGTGATGGGGGATCTCGGGAGAGAGAGAGAGATTCGTACCTGAGTTGGGTGATCTCACGGTCGCCGGAGTTGGGGGAGGTCGGTGGCTTGATAGAGGAGGAGAAATGGGCACGTGGAGATCCGGTGATGGAGATGTCGCAGCCGACAGTGATGGGGTTGTCCGAAGTCGGGGCCGGTGATGAGGATGGATTTGGTGGAAGAAGTCGGTGATGGGGATTTGATTTTGGGGGAAAGGGAAGAGAGAGATGTTGGAATCATGACATACAACGCAGCGGAAAAAGCATATCATGACTATTAATCAAAATTAATTAAATATTAGAAGAATACCTGAAACGCTTTCCGAATTTCTACAATGATCTGTCCCGAGATCAATCCAAAATAGCTTCCTCAAGAGAAAAAGCCTCCAATTGAAATCCACCCGTCACCGTAGAGGAGCAATACTGAGAGATAGGTTCTCAAAAATCTATTTCTTCATATTATCTTCATAAGATTTTGAATCTCTTCTCTTAACCTCTCATAAGGCTACATATGAACCCTATTTATAGGATTACACTAGTCTTAGAGATTTTAACTTTAAACAATTCATAATTATCTAGAACTCTATCCATAACAATTAAGGATAGAATAGATTTGTTCAAAAACTTTATCCATAACAATTAAGGATAGAAATAGATTTATTCAAAAACTTTATCCATAACAATTAAGGATAGAAATAGATTTATTCAAAAACTTTATCCATAACAATTAAGGATAGAAATAGAATTGCATTGCATGTATACCTCTTCTAATGACATTAGTGAGACCAATTGGGTCCCATATCGAGAACCAATTATTAATCAAATTAATAATTTTAATTTAACAATCAAATCCCTATCCGACCAATTGTTCATAAAAGCTCTTCCATAATATGGGATTAATTATTAATAAATAATATCTTACATTCAATCCCTTCCAGTATCATTTATTCTAGGCAACTCTTTTAAGTAGGACAACTCACCTATTTGCTCATGTCTAAATTTGCAATTCCCATGAACATAAATAAAAATTATTTTGAAACATCAAAATATTTTATTTTTTATAAGAAAATAAATTTTGTAAAAATATTTTCAAAGCTACCTGCCGGCAGGAATTTAATAGCTTCATGGGAATGCATAATAAATTAACTCATCATAATGAGCATACTGGATCCTATCTAGACATCCATCATTTTCCTAAATGAAATTTAGCAACCCAATGTTTCAGGTTGTGTAGCGCTTGCTAAACAAGCTTAACCATCACATCAAAGCATACTAAATTATCAAATCGAAAATGATAATATCATCAAGTCAAAGGGACCATGTAACAATTTGAACTCTCTATCTCTTAGGTGACTCATCCTAGAGAATTCAAATACGATCTAGTGCTACACACATCATAATGCGTGCTTATGACATACACCCGGAGAATCTCCATTCTCGATGGTTGAGACCCACCACCATATCTCATATATCGGTGTCATGCATAATAACCTGTTATAACAAAGTTATCCTTTACTAGTTATAGGTTAAGCACAAATTTAAGAAATTTCTAAGTTAGATCATATCTCCAAGCAAGTGACCATCACAATGCATGATCTAACAAAAATAACTTCTAAGGATATATATAAAAATTATATAAATAATAACCAAATTATGTGCAACAATTAAATTTATTAACATCACAATATTATTACATAATTTGTATTGGATGTTCAAGGGCAAATTATTATTACTATTCCAGCAAGAGAGAGGTCACGAGAATGATTTTACAGTGCTTTCGTTGACTTTTTTCAAAAAAACCCTCGCTTTCAATCCCCAAGCACGGTCATGAGCTCGTACTCATTTGTCGGAGGATTTTTTTTTAAAAAAAACCTTCATTCGCTAAAACGGGCTGTGTGCGTACGCATTAGTGCGTATAAGAAATGATCTATATATATATATACATGTACATCTATATACATGTATATACATGTATATATATATATAATATATATATATATATAATATATTAATTAATGGGTTATCCTTGCATAGGATACCCATTAATAAATAATAAAATAAAATATAATATAAATATATATATATATTAATATATATATATATATATTATATATATATATATATATATATAATACACACACATACACACACACACCACCACATTAAATATATATATATATAGAAGACAGAGAGAGAAGAGAAGAGAGAGAAGAGAAAACTGTATGTGACTGGAACTCACATACATTGTCCCGCTGCAGGGAGTTAAATGAAAAAAATACACCCGCCCGCACAAATAGATTCTCGTGACCAAAAATCATTATTTCCCCAAATCCCATCGTGAGCTCCTCTCTCTTCCAAATCTCCTCAAAATCCCAGATCTCAAATCTCTCTCACGTGAGTTCCCTCTCTCGTCCCCAATTCCCTCTCCGACTCGAGCAACCGCCGCCGCTCCTTGTGGCAGCCCTCATCTCTCCCCATGCTGCAGCTGACGCATCACCGCTGCCTCTCTCGCAGCCGACGCGATTATCGCCGCCTAGTCTCGCCCCCCTGTAACCGACAGCGACCACCGCACCCTCTCTGCACTAACACGCCACCAACCGCCCTATCTTCGCCCCCTGCACCGACGGCATACCGCCGCCCTCTTGTAAGTTTTTATTTTATTTTATTTAAATTTCAGTCTTATAAAAGTTTGGATTTTCTGATATGGGGTTTACATTTGTTTCTGAACCTTGTGAATTCAAGTGTAGGTTTTGGTTACTAGACGATAGCAATTAGGTGTGATGCACTTAAATATGATTCTAATCTTCGTTCAATTGCAGTCTATTTGTCCCTTTTGCTTCTCGAGTTTATATATTTATATCAGGAAACGGTCGAATTTTGTGTTCTGGGTTTACTTTGATTGTTTAAACCCTATTGGTCATGTAGAAAGTGTAGTTAGCTTGAGATTTCAGTATTTAATAAAAAGATCATAGGTTTCTATTTGTTCAATTTGTTTGCTTGCTTCTTGGTCTTTAACTATGATAACATAATAGAACGAAGAGGTTGGGCTTACCAGTATTGGGCTACTTTTGCAAATTTTAGGAAGTCATGGAAGCTTCAGTTTTGGGCTTACCAGTATTGTGCTTTAATTTTACCAGGTTTAATTTTGCATATTCATAAAGTATATGCTACTGCATGTTTAATATACATAGAACAAAAAACACAATTACATCTTGTGATTGTAGCTATTTCCAGAGTCATGCAAAATCAAATGGATGTGATTTTATTCTTCCCTCAGTGGTAGCAATTACTTCTCGAATTTGGACTTATAATTTCTCTTAATTCCACAAAGAAATTAAGAGAGTTTTTACTGTGATTTTGCTTCAAACCATAATTTTTTAGGTGTTCCATGGCAAGAAAGAGTTTTTACATTGTGAAGAGAGGTCGACGATGTGGAATTTTTAATAATTGGGAGGACTGTAAAATGCAAGTTGATAAATTCCCAAATGCCGCATATAAAGGGTATGCAACGTACGAAGAGGCTTTGGTTGAATGGGATAAGCACAACATCGCTTGTGATTCAGCATCCAACTCAAGGGCATGTCCAAACACCTTTTTATGTCCCGACACCTGATTCTGCATCGAGCTCAAGAACTACTATTTCCCCCATCTATGCTTTTGCATTAGGTTCAGTGTTTACAATATTAGTGTTTGTAATATGTATCGTTGTCGTATTTATTTTTTTCTCTCTTGTAAAAAATATGTGATTGTGAGAACTTATGTATCGAGTAACTTATGTGATTGTGAGATTGTGAGAACTTATGTATCTTGTGAGAACTTATGTGATTGTGAGAACTTATGTCATATTGTTTGTATAAGATAAATTTTTGAGATTTTAAATTAGATAAGAAATGCTCATAAGACCCCTACTTCTGTAAGGTCCAAGCCTTTCCTGCAGTCCCGAAGCCATTCAGTAAGATGGCTGTTACTGAGTTGTGGATAAAGCCTTTGAACTACAAATCATGTTTTCTCCAGCTTGTATTCAGTAAGATGGCTGTTACTGAGTTATGGGCTGCTATGAGCTTTGTGCAATTATTTGTTACATTCATGTTTTCTTCCCTGTTACTGAGCTTTATACGTGTTTCTCTATCAATCAACACTTTGGTCAACAACTCTCAAATAAATGCCTCAGCTCAAACAGCCTTTGAACTACAAATCATGTTTTCTGGAAAGTGAATCTAACTCGAATTTATAACAAAAGTTGTGCTTGTTAAATATGCAAAAGGTCGGTTAGATTATAAGCTCAACACGGATGGTGCTGCGCTGCAGAATACTAGCTCCTGTGATGCAGGGATATATAGTGATCCGAGGTAGAGAAGGTGATGTGGTGGCAGCAAGAGATCAGATAGTTTTGGTAATGGTTCAAATTGGTATTGAAGTTGATTCCGTTGTTTTTGTTAGTCTGATTATGGGTTCCTCTCCCTCTCAATGGCAATATCATTCCTTGCGGAAGGAGGCCATTAATTTATCATCTGACTTGTATTTTTTTTCATTCATCACATTTATATTGAGGCAATGCGCCGTAGCGGATAGGTTGTTGGCAAATAGAGCTAGAAATTGCAACCCTGTTATTTTTAATCAGACTTGGATCTTCCTTGAAATGTTAGGCTTGCCCTCACATTATAAAAAAATGTTGTTTCTCAATGCAATATTTAGCAGCTACAAGACAGAGTTGTGGACTACAAGACAACAATCCATATCAATTAACCAATAACACACACACATACATCGGTCTTAATACATTAGTCTTAACACATCAGCAGCTACAAGACACAATCAGTCTTAACACAATCAGTCTTAATACATAAAATGTAGTAATACATCAGCAGCTACAAGACAATCAGCAACAGTTGTGGATGAACCTGAGCTGCTTGTGCTTGTTCCTGTGTTAGTGGTAGCGCTGTAAGAGAAACACATGCACAAGCAAATAAATCGTTTGTTAAAAGTTAAAAACAGAGTAAATAAAGTGCTGTTAAAGATTGATACACAAAAATGCAAGCAATCATACGTACATTAATCATGAGATATGACTTTTTGAACAAACCAATACATCCACCACCCGAGCATATGTTTAGCTGCAAATTATATGACAAATTAATCATGAGATATGACTTTGTGCTATCAAGTTTCATAAACTTATATAGGGCTAAAACTGAATAGAAATACAACTAGTTCTATAATGCCCGAGTTCACCACATCTGCTACATATGCGTTTCTTCCTTTCTTTCTTTTCTTGTGCCTGTTCTAAACCTGAATGGATTCTAGTAGAATTGCGTGGACGACCTTTAGTCCTTGCAGGTCTATCAGGATCACGAACTGTTATCTGAGGAATGTTCTCTATTGTATGTGAAATGGGTGTGGAAGGTTGAGGAATATCCATAATTTGATCTTGAGTTTCTCCAACTTCTTCTTCAAGTGATTCCATGAAATATCCATAATTTGATCTTGAGTTTCTCCAACTTCTTCTTCAAGTGATTCCATGAAATTTGTTAGCACGTCATCAAGTTGTTGCAGCTTCTCTTCTGAATCAAATGCAAGCTCGAGCACATTATTGAATTTTGCTCTTAAAGCCCAAGATTTCAATAAATTAATCTTCTCTTCACAGCTGGTGATGTTTCTTCTAAATACAATGTTGCCAACCCTGTAGGCGTATAAAACTGCTTATAGGTCCCTTAACACAGCTCGGCACGGTGATTCGACAAACCAACGAACCATCAGGCGATATATCCAAGCAGGATCGTTAGACCACAACACTGAAGCGGACTTACTACCAAATCAGGATCCGGACTGCCAAATCAGAGTCCAGATCAACAATCAGAGTTTGGATAAATCGCGAAACTGAAAAAACGACAAAACGGCAAACACCTGGAGGGCTCGGCCAAAACCGAGCCACCTAGGGGTGGCTCGGCCATGGCCAAGCCACCTAGGTGGCCGGCCGAGCCACCTCCTGGTGGCTCGGGGGCCGAGCTCGGTGGCCGAGCCACCTAGGTGGCCGATCCACCTGGGCCAAGCCCAGATCTGGGCCCAGATCTGAGCCCAGATCTGGTTCTAAATGCTTATAAATAGGCTTAGTGGCTCATTGTTTGAAGGTTGAAACTTTTTGAGGCGAAACTCTGCTGGATTGAGAACTGAACTTCGGAGTTTTGGAGCTTTGAAGACTTGGCTTTTCAGATCTGGTTCTTGGTGATCATCCACGTCAGATAAGGCAGGAGTTCGAGAGAGAGATCAGATCTGAGATCTACATGGTTATCCTCCGGATCAAAACTTGGTTTTTGATCCCGAGAAGAGTATCGATTTCGCTTGGTCGATTTCGATTACTAAAGGCTATTATTTCCTTGGTGAAATAGTACCCCCGGCTGTTATTTCCTTCGTGGAATAACACCAGTCATACCGTGTAGATCCGACCGGATCAAGATCGCGCGGTGGTCCACGGATTAACCCCGGCGCAGGCTAAGAACCCACACAAGCAAGAGACCACAAAACAGGATCTTGCGATTTGTTCGAGAAAAGGAGAGTTGTAATTTTTCTTTTTTCTTTGATTTTGTTGTAACCGGATCTTATAAAAAGACCGGATCTTTTGTAACTGAAAAACTGTTGCTGAAGAGAACAATGAAATCAATGAAAGCAATTTTCCCCGCGAACAATCTGGCAACCACAGTGGGAGCCACCGATCTCGCTGCCGAGATCGTTGCGTCGTAGCCGCGGATCTCAATCCCGGTCGAGGAGGAGGTCGAGTATGAATTCGACCAACAAAAGTTCGAGGAGTATCTGTCATCCTCGTCCGGATCCACCTCCCCCCGCAAGTCCAAGAAGTTCTCCTCCAGGAGAAAAGTTCGTTGGTATGAAGAAGTACAGAATGCCAACGAAGATCTCACCCCAATTGATGCCGAAGTTGCTTCGGGTGAAGCTCCACCGACCTCTAAGCAGGTCAAATCTGTTCTCGCCAATGTCTCCGCCGTTGAAGGTGTAGTGACTCTCTCAAAGAGAGCCCGCCAGAGGTGACGTCAACGCTTGGCGCGGCAACTCGCAAAGGCGATAGAGTCCACTGACGGAGTCCGCTATAACGCGGATCTAAAGAACAGGAGAGGCAAACAGCCTCAACAAACAATGAATGACAGCTCCTCCAAGCCGCCAACGAATGAATGGATCCGTGTCAAACGGAATTGTTCAACACTTGATGAGCGTATTCGCAAGCTCCGCGCACTGTCAGCGCAAGCACGGGCTCAAGTCCAAGAAGCCCGCAGAAGACTGCAGAAGGAAGTGGCCAAAAAGCCGCCACCAACCCGCCAAGTCTGGAGGCCGAAATCTAAAGCGGCGATTCAGACTAAAGAGCAACCTTTGCAGCCTTCAGCAAAAGTTCAAGCTCCGGCGAACCAACCTAAATCACCGATAATTCCCATAGCTACTCCGGGAGATCACGCAGAATCATCCCGAAGAAAGAAGTCAGTTTTGGAGCGCCTTGGTCCACTTCCTGATGGACGATGCAAAGCTCCAGTTCAAGAACGTTTGGGCCCGATAAAGAAGCCCCGAACGACTCAACATGCTGGGGGTCGCCGCCACCCTCAACATGACAAAGAGATCAGGGCAGCTAAGCGCACCAATTTGCGCATTGAAGTCCAGGAGCCCGCTGAGAACTCACGCCCACAAAGGCATGTTTCGAGGCGCGTGACTCTTGAAAGCCCAAGGAAGACAGTTCACACTCAGAAGGAAACATTATCGTCTAATGACGATAGCGTTATACCTGAGAAGTCGTGCCAACACACGATAGGTTACTCCGACCTTCAAACCGATGAGTTGTACTATCGTGTTGAGGGTATGAGTAAAACCAGGAAAAGGAGTCCTCGAGAACTAAAGACTCAATGCCCCTGTTCCAAACTCATTCGGGCAGTATTGTCGGAGTGCAACTGCACCAATACAGTCCCCGAGAGAATTTTGGTTTTCGAAAGACTCAGTACCGAAACGCCAAAACCAAGGCATAGACGTTTCCGACGAAGGAGAGCGGTGGTTGAAGACGGAGAATTTCCGAGGGTCACCACTAATATGACCAGCAAAGGGACATCGACACGGGATAATCCCAAGTCGATTCCAGAAGCATCCCGGCGTATAACACGTCTGCAGTCTGGAGCCATCATACGAGCAACCTATGGTAGGATTCGGACAAGGTTACCTTCAGAAGATGAAGAATCGGATGCCGGCTCTGCGGTCGCATCAGATAATACGGTATCCAACGAGGGACAACCCCGCGAGGCACTTATGATAAGTGCGTAACAAGTGGCCAAGATGCTCGAAGAAGCCATGGCTAAACAACAGGAGAGCTTCAGGTTCGAAATACAGATGGCCATGCAGAACATGAGAGAAATGCATGACCAACAAATCCAAGCATTAGGTTTGAAATGCAGATGGCCATGCAGAATATAAGAGAAATGCATGACCAACAAATCCAAGCACTGACAAACCAGCAAGGCAAACCAAGTCGTCGTAACCAGGTTAATCAGGAAGATGAGGACACAAATGCGAATGAAGCTCATAATGCCAATCATCCTCCTGTCAACACAGGGGGTGGTAACGAGAATTCTAGCGAAAACACAGGTGAAAGTTTGAAGATCAAAAACCTCGAGAGCAAAATCAATACGTTGATTTCCGCTCAAGAGATGAAGAAGACGGGCATTCCTTGTCCATACCCAAGAGAATGGGAATCAATCCCGTATCCGGCGAAGTTCAATCTAATTAACTTCACGCCGTTTAATGGGATGGGTTCACCCACTCAGCATTTGATTTACTTCAAATCACACCTAGGGGTTATCTCTGGCAATGAGCCTCTGATGGTACGGTCCTTCGTTCAAGCCAGGAAGTGTGAATAGCTGGGACGACATGGAGACTAAATTCCTCACCAATTTCTTCGACGACGACATCGAGATATCCATCGGGTCGTTGCTTGACGAGAAACAAAAAGACGGGGAATTGTTTGATACATTCGTCAAAAGGTTCCGGAACAAGGCGATGAATTGTCAGGACCCGATCACTGAGGAGTTCATTCTCCAGACTTGCCATAACAACCAAGCATTGGACGTGTTGGAAGCAATGGGGACAGCTCCATCCAAAACATGGAAGGATTTGAAGGTCCGAGGAGAGCAAGCCGAGTGATTCCTCAGAAGGAAGAAGGCGGAAAGAGGCCAACAGGCGACGAATGCTCCGCAACAGAATTTTGTCCCACGAGGGAAAGGTAAGGCACATGCTAATGCAGTTGATGCTAATCAAACTTTCCAATTGCAACCTCAGCAACAGCCACAGCAAAAAGCACCACAACCATCTCGTTCGCAATGGCAACAACGGCCTCAGAAGCAGAAATCTTCGGAGCCAAGGTTTCCTAAAGTGTACTCCTTCGAAATCTTCGGAGCCAAGGTTTCCTAAAGTGTACTCCTTCAAAGATGACGAAGTTCCCGACATCTTTAAGTACCTGCTAGAAAATAACAAAATCCAGCTGCCGCCGATTGTGGATCAAGAAGGGGCTAGCAAAGTGACGGATCCGAAGTATTGCGCATACCATAGAGCGGTCCATCACCCTACAAAGTCATGCTACCATCTCAAGGACAAAATCCAGGTGTTAATTGATCTAGGCGTCATAACCCCGAAGCCGTCCAAGAATGTTGGAGCAAATGCAGTATCAATCAGCTTTGGATCAGTGCCCACAACATGGTTTGAACCAGAACGCATCACCAAAGTTGGAATGAAAATGGTGAATGATGACCCTCGTCTCCAGAACGCTTATGCGGATGCACCGGCAGCACTAGCGGTATCACTTGCGCAGTCTCCCGAAACTGAGCTGTTAGTCACAGTAAGGACGCATCAACTCTGCATACCCATATATGATATGGATATTGAAGAAGAAGATGATAGAAACATAAACGCCAAGGTCCCGAGATTGGCGTTTTCCTATCATTGACTACGTCCAATATGGTATTTTGCCAGAGGATGTAAAAGAAAGGGAATCAATCCGCCGAAGAGCACCAAGATTCTTCTATAATACTGAGACCCATACATTATATCGTAGAGGGTACGATGGTTTGTTACTCTGATGCCTTTAGAACAAAGAAGCAGAAGAAGTTTACACACGTCAACCACGTCTTGGCCGTTCGAGACATGTGGTG